AAAAAAGTTTTGAAATTTTTATTCTGTGTCGAGTAAAATAAACTCTAGTTTGATAATGATTTGTTTATATAAATTTTACATTAAATAATTTATTCACCAATCGTTCAACCATGATCACAAATATTATCCTCATAATGCACTAATAGTTTGAGCTTAATTAGTAGTAAGGAGTACATAATTTTATATACATATTTCCTTACTTGTATATTCATTACAAATTTGTAAAATTTTAATCAGTAGGTGCTCTAACAAAGTTATGTGTTGTACTGAATTCTATGAATAATGAAAACCTCGTTTCTATACGTATAATATTAATATTAAAAATCGGATCGATATTTTGGATGTACGTCCACACATCATATGTGAGAGTGCATTACTGATTTATTTTTCCACGATTTTTATTCGCCATATTACATTTGGGATGAAAACGAAATTGTACAATGCGTATACACTCTTATTATCCCCATCACCACCACCACCCATGTCTTTGGCCCTTGGGAATATGTTATAGTATAACTAATATTTTCTGAGTAATATATAGCAATTTAATACCTATATATACTGACTACTGTAAACTGTATAGTACTGTAATATACGAAGAGGAAACTTTTTGGCCCCTTGTGAAAATACTACGCTGCATTCAACGATCTAAAAACTATCTGTACTAGGGTTGTTCCAAATATACTAATAAGCAAATATTATTATTATTATTATTATTATTATAATTATTGTTATTATTTGTATCCGCCCTATTATTTCTGATATAAAACGAGGTACTGCAGCAGGTTTGAAATCGTAATTAATCATAAACACAATACGCGTTCTCTTTATTTACCGAGTGCTTTAGCGAATTCATCTTTTGTATTTTTTGACGTTTGGCACACAGTCCCTTTGGCACGGCACAAAACGAAGAAATGTCACTCCAGATCGTTATCAAAATATGAAAAACACTCCCCCCTGCAGTAACGCAACAAGTGCAACCTGGCAACGATAACTTCAATTTGTTTTGTTTGTTTCAGACGATGATTGGAGTGGAGACGGAAAAACCAGAGGGGCCGCTGAACAAGCCGGTAAGTGGTTTTTTTATAAATCGCTATAATATAAAGTACCAAAGTAGCTATTCGGCGATAGTAAAAACAACAACATAAAAGTATTATATTATTTTTTCCATGTTTTTATTTTTACATAATGTAATCGTAGTGGGACTTAGATTACAGACAACGATTTTTCACCCATCATGACAGTTATCGGTATAATGTAAAGAGGCATACGTTTATGTTTAAGTCTATGTATTTGTATTGTTTAAAAGAGAAAATGTCCATATTTATTTAAATGTATTGATTTTCTTACGAAATACTTTTCTCCTTTTTCTTCTTGTATTATTATGTTGATTTTGCAGATTTTAAGTGTCTCGCCTACTACCGACAACGCCCTGCAATTATCTCACCCCCGGACCCATTCTTAAATCTATATCTCGAATTACCGACACACTTAATTTACTCTCTGTTATGTTTTACCATTTATTTCTATCTGTGTCTCCCCTGCAGTGGTCGTGGACTTTTGCCCGATTGCCGTTCTCATTCTTACCATTTTATTCTGCTGAATGAAATGTGCATGTCCTACTGCTGTATTCATTACTTATTCGAATAATAGGTACCTATAAGTGTATAACCGCAGGCGTGACACACAAAAAGTGTTAACTTTTATGTGTAATTCGTTTAATTAAAGTTTTTGACATTTTATTCGCAGTGAGAGAGAAATATTTTGAATTATAGTAGAAACATTATTATTTATATATTACAATTTTATACATTCAAAGTGAATGATTTTGCCATACAAAGTATTATATTTTTTTTTTGAAACCAAATTGAATATTTTATTTTTAACAAACGTTATATGTAACAATTACCTTTAAAATTGAATTATATGCAGGCAGTTGACTAATGTTTTCAAAAGAAGAACTCTGTCGCTTAAAGATTTTCTTTAATTTTATATTTTTAAAACTATTTAAACAAAGTAGGTATAAAAAAAATAATCAATTTTTTTAAAAATGCAAGAACAGAGTTTGTGGAAAATGACATTTTAATTTTATCATATGACATTCTCTTGAATTTTGTAAAGTTCTTAAAGTATAAAATATTTTAACGTGTATGTATGATATACCTCAGGCGTGAAATTGTCCAATTTATAAAATAAGCACTTTTTTGCTCATTTTATGAAACGAATCAGTGATGTGTAACATTCCCGAACTGAGCAATATACATATATTATAAACCATTATTATACGTTATAGTAGTTAGGTATTATGTTTGTGTATGTATGTTTATGAAATAGAAAAACATAATTTCTTCGTAAGATTTCAAGTGGTTTTTGAAGTACGATTTCTATTTGACAAGTATTTTGTTTTGTTTGAATACAATTAAGGAGGAAAAAACGGTACTAAATATTAAAGTTTTGACCATCATCATAAATATAATACATACACGACAGAAGGAAAAAAAGTTGTATTAGTTAATATCATTATTCATTATTTTCGCACGTTCCCCCGACATGACGTTTTATGCAAGTCATAATTCACAACTTAACAGAGACCTTTTTTTCTCCACAACTGCATATTGTATAACAACATTATACAAATCATGTTTGAAACTCGTTACTATTTACGGAGTATATACCTACAACTCCAGCGTTAAGTGTATTAGTTGTCCCTCGTATATGCTATTATAATATTACTATTTAATATACAGAAGGTATATCGATGTTTTTTCTTACTTATTAGTTATTTGGCATTTAGTTTGATTGAAATAATTATACTATCGTATTGTTTTGTATTTATTGTATTGCAACTGCAGTATATAACGAACGACTGAAAAACGAGCAAAAAACACTGCCGTTTTTGAGATTAAAGCCGGGTGGGTAGCAGTTATAATATCGTATATGACTCCACCGACGAAAGATATAATATTCCATATTATTTCATGCTATTTTTTAACTGTTCTCTATTTAACAACCACAATAATCCACAAATGCTAAATAGGACTAATTTATGAGGACATAGGTTATATTATCAAGTCCGTAAACTAGAAATTAGTGAACTCGTGGATCGACTGCGTTTAACGAAGTGAAGATCATGGAATAGGCAATATTATTGTCCATGTACAATGTTGTAACTCAATGTTTTTTGTGTAGTTCAAGAATAATGTATGAATTAGATGACTACTACGCATGCCACATAAAGTAAGCGACTTACACATTATACGAAATGTGCAAAAAATAGTGACGTTTTCAGTTATCATGAATAAGAAAAATACACAAATGTGGAGCGGGGATGTAATGTAGGTACCTATTAATAACGTACTCTGAGACAGCCCGGCCAATTTCAAAGTATTTTAAAATTCATGCACTAATATTTAGGAAGTGATTAGCGTGAATTTGCATTTTGCAAATATTGATTTGAAATTTGCTTGATATTGGTTTAACAATTAAACCCACACTTTGAAGGACTGGGCTTGTGCAACTACTAATGATAATGATTTAAATTTAAATTAGATTTTGCTCTCAATAATTGATGATATTTGTAAGAAAAATAGTAGTAAGTTGATAATTAGACACGATGAGTACAGTTAATATTTATACCAACGGGGTAGCAAATAACTAATGACATGATAGCAAATCAATAAATATCAATTTTTGCCTGCTTTTTATATTTTTTTTATAAAAAATATTAAATGTTGTTCAGCTATTTATATACTATAGTATTTATATAATACATAATGTAGAAAGCTTTACTTTAATTTCTTATCCCATATTATCGATTTCTTGTCAGATTTCTTGTTTACTTATTACTGCCGTTTTCTGCGGGATTATACAGTCACAGTGATTATACGTATGCGGACTTAATGGCAAACCATTAATTTATTTCAAAAATCAGAAAAAAATATTTATTGGTTTCAGTTATAGTGCTAAGATAATGATAGGATTTAGTCTCCTACATGACTTTTTGTTAGGTTATCACTTTTAGTTTCCGTGTACCTATAAGTACAATAATATTAAAACAAAATACATATAAGAATAAGTCCTATGACCTAAGAATTACCAACAATACTTCATGAACTAAAAAGAGGAAGCAACGCGAGTGCAAGGTTTTCCTGAGGAAAACATACTGGAACAGGCAAAATATATTAACAATCTACTATAGAGCAAATTACATTTCTAAAAACACACAATCGATACCTACATTTCTAGTAGGTACTGAATTGTATTTGTAGTTATACTATTCGTTTTATTCATTAGCTTTTAATGTCCAAATGAGTTGAAATATCATTCATGCAAAAACTTAAACGGTTAAATAAATATTTCATCTAATGATAAAAAATAAACGTTTTTTGTACCCTAGTTGTAAACAATTGAACACCTCCTCCTTGTACAGCTTTGATTATATAATAATTCCGATAACAGCTGGGGTTATACCGTTGTGTTGCGAACTGTTGGCTTACGCTTATTATAAGGAATTCAGAACAGTACAACATACATAGACCCACTGTCGTATATGTACGTTCTACATGCGTCCGTTTGTTGTATACTGTTGACATTTAATAAAACGACATCGTTAAGTCGTTTTTGTCTCGATTTGTTCTATCCGTATGATATTATAATATAGTTCAACATCGTCTGGTGGGAGGGAAAATATAGTTATTATCGATGTCCATTAAGGTTGCAGGGCGTTCGTCCATATTATATAACAACTACTTCTTACCTATCCGTATATAACATCACCAGTACAGTATTATTTATACATCATAATTCGTATGTACGTGATTTCACAAAAAAAAAAAATCTAAAATAATCTGGCAACGGTTCGGAATGATTCTTGAGACTTCCCGTAGCAAGCCGTAGGTAGGTATATATATATCAATAAAACGTCACTAGTCTGCGTGTGAAACATGTGTGCCGATGTCATGTGCTCCGCTGCAGGTCCGCGGTACTACGAGACAACGCCGTCTAAATAGATTGTTTAGGCCTCGGCTAGTGTATGTGTTAAATGACGTGATTTATACGTATACTAATAATTTTTTTTAACAAAAAAAAACAAAATGATACTAAAATGTTTTTTTCTAAGGTTTTGAAGTAAGTTCTTATTTTAAGTGCGAAAATTCTTAAAAAATCACCGAAAAATTGGTGCGGCCTGCAGTTATACGGATCACATTGTATATTTTTAACAGCCGTGGTGGGGAAACGGAACAAGATAAAAAGTTTAAAAAAAAAGAAGCAATAATACATTCGGCCTGGCTGGCTGGCTGGCACGGGTTTTGTCGCAACGCGGTGAAGCAGTACACGGTTAACGGCGCGGCGGTCGGCACGAGTTGTACGATAACGCAGTGGCCGCGAATGGGGCGTAACCTCGACGGGTCGTAAGTCGTATCGGTCGTAAACGACTTCGGGAAAACGTCGGATTTTTATAGGATTTATCGGCGTGAATTTCCGTACCATATTTTCCAAGGCGACGATGCAGTAGACCCTGTGTGATGTGCGCGACCAGCAGCTGATATTCACGTATATTCAATGCATTATTGTACACAGTGAAACCTCTAAATACCGGACACTCTCAGTTACTGAAATCTCGGACACTATTCAGAGAGCCTGTAGAAAGTATGGAGTTTGCTAGAAATTTGTTCACAAAAAAACGTAGGTAAATGTACCTTTGGAGGTGGGCCTTAAGGGAGGTTTCACTATATTATATACAATGTATTACTTGTTTAATTGTTTGTAATATGTGTGCAAGACGATAATATAGTTAAATTATTTTAAAGTTTGTAAATTATGCGGAACGTAAAAATTAAGTACAGCTTTGAGAGATCGTGAATACCTATGTATAGTGATAATATATTGATATGTTGACGATACCTAATGTATTACTGTTTTAAACGAACGGCGTGTTATTTAATATTCTTTCCACGCGACATTCGCTTTGAGCTACAGTAGTTGAATATAGTAAGGGCTTTCAAACATTTTTCCATTGAATGATATGTCGGCTTACTGTTTGTTGTTTTTAATATTATAATTTATAACAGTTTAATTAAACGATATCTATTAAGTTGCTACACACTATAAACGATGATATTATTTAAACATCTGTAAGCTGAAACTATTAAAACTACTAATTTGTTAATATTGATTATTCTACTAAGTAGCTAAAGACGATTGCAACATAATTTTTCAAATTATCTATAAACTATTAATTTATATACAAATTACATAATTTCCTAAAAAAATGTTATCATTTAATAGTTTTTTATAATATATAGATAGGTATATACCTTTTAATAAATGTTAGGAAACCTTGGTTTCCAAACAGTAAGACCATCTTCGTTCAAAATCATTGGAAAGGCTTTCATTATTTTTTGAATTTCTTTGTATGTAATTAATTGGTACATTAAAATAGGGAAAAGTGGGTAACTGCTTTGATATATAGTAGGAGTTAAGTGTTTTTTTTTCAGTATAGACACTGTAATAGATTGTTTAAATTTTAATTTTCCCCCAACCGGGCATGGCAGAAACCTACGGGTGCCCACTAAAAATTCTGCCAAACAAACACACATGTGTTCCGTAACCCTACAGTTCCAAAAACCCTACAGTACCACAACCTACAGCTAATGGCCTCAGATGTCGAAGCTTAAATAAAAAAAAAAAAAAATTGAATTCAATGATAAATCATTGTATACGATGAAAAATTATTTTGAGCAAAGATGAAATAACTGTTTGCAAACCAAGGTTTAAATTTTAAAATATTAACAAATGTCAGTATTTTTTTTTAGTTTTTCCCAATTATTTTGACGATATTTAATATTCTAAATAATTGAGTTAATATTTTTTAGAGCTATTACTACCTGCAGAAAATCAAAATTAGACTAAAAAATATTATAATTTTACTTAAACAAACTATAATAACCTAAAACTTTGGAGTGCAGTGATTGGAGATGTATAATATATGACTTTATTTTTTTTAAAGTATATAACATTTTTATTATTTATCATTAAATTATACCGTTAATATAATTCATCATTTTCCTATTTACATATTTATTTTTAATATTTTCTCTTTGTATACGAAGTTTCAAAAGTATGAAGTTGTAATCTAATATTTAGAGGAAAAGATACAGTATACATTTTTTCTAATGAGTTTAATGGATTTGACCTTAGTAAAAAATATTAAATTTTTAATAATTAATCAAAATTCGAGTAAAAAAATGATTTTTTTTAATGTTTCAACTGTGATAAAGATGATTAAAACATTTTTTAGACAAGTAAGGAAAAGCATACTACGACCGTTATAACTGATAACTTGATGCTTTTTAATATATAATATAGTACATGCATCAACATTAAAAAAAACCAATAAGAGCAATGATTTATGTTATATCCTTACTTGATTAAATTCAATTTAACACAATTTAATTACACGGTATTAACCATATTATGGCAATAAAAAAATATGCTGAAGATAATGTGACATATCTAAGGGTGTAGCCCAGAAATATTGTTAAACGATATATTTTCTTAAAATCAATATTGCACATTGGTAACCAAGGTGATGAAAGTCGGATTGACTTTCGGGTGTAATGTTTCTTACGTAATATTTGTTCATATGTGTATAATATACGTAGCAAAATGATATAGAAATCTAAAGATAAATTATAAATAAAAATCAGTTTTTAGATTATATTATTTTGTATTTAAAAAACTTAAACAGTTTCTTTCTTTGGTTGTGTGTGAAACATTTAAATAATTTAATGAACTCGTCTCTATTTTACTGCGTTTCTTAAGTAACAAGATGCTAATATTGTTTTAGAACTTAGAACTTAGATTATTTTCATAAATTCTTGAAAAATAGCAATTTACGTACATCACTATTATATTGGTATAATTGTTTTCTATGTACGTTCTATTGTAAATTATATCAATTAACCAGATAACATATATTTTTTTTCCTGTATTTGGTTCAATTAAATAAACATGTACTCTACGTGTGATGCATTAGCAGGTGTTGAGAGTTACAGTTCTGTGGAGTCTAGTTAGCAGTTATCAAGGATTAAATATGTATGCTAATAATTAAAGGCTACACGAATAAAAAAATGTTTATAATATATCAAAAACTACCCATAATTTACAACCTTTAGGGATCACGTGTATGTATTGAAATCAACTGGCCGTGTTTGTATGTGTGAATAGTGAATACACAATTGGTACTCAAGCCTTGGATTATGAATCGACTATTAAGCCAAGTAGACATTTTCCACGAGTGACCTACTCTAGTTATGTGATCGTTCAGATATTTTTAGGACGTGCAGATTGTAAAATACAAATAATATGTTTTCGTAGAACTTTAAAAATGTTCGTTCAACCTTTTATTATTTATAAGTATATATTATCATTTTGCTCCAAACTTTGATATTACTATATTTTACTAGGTAAGTAATTCATATATTATTAAACATGTTAGACAAAATTGCGAGATTATACGAGAAAAGTATTAAAATAATTAAAATAATATTATATACTATCGACGTATCCTTTAGTTTTTTTTAATGTTGTATTATATTTAATATTAATATAAATGTATAAATAGAACTATGGGCAATTGAAATTGAAGTCGTGAAGAGAATTTATGTTGAAAAAGGTTATGGCGCTTAAAAAGAAACCATTGCCGAGAATCTTTTATCTTGTGTTATTCCTTTACACCCTAATACTCCCTTATATATTATACATATATATTATATATATCACATCCAATCTCGTGAAATAGTATTGCGATTCTGATCGCATATTCCAAACCTTTTAGTTTTTACTTAACTAACTATACACAACCAACGCGTTTAAAACAATGCTACTTATGCGTATTCTGGTTGGAATTAGGTTTTTCTTCGAACAAAATTGGATCTCAAATTTAAATATATAAGGAATGAAGCCATGAAGGTTATTTGCAGTCTAAAAGCTCGTTACGATAATGAAACAAAATCTTTTTGAAATATTTAACATAAACAAAACGGAGAAAGCTAAAAAAAAATGTGACTGTACATGTTGGAAAATCTGAAATCATTCTATAGTGCACCTACCGATGTCGTTTCTGGCACTAAATTGATTGTACGTTTTGTAGTCGTATGTACGTTCATATTACATATTTTTAACAGAATCAAATTACTATAAAATGACATCGGTGTAATGCTTAAATTTTGTCATTTATATAACTGTAATAATCGATTATGCATAAGACTTGAACCAATTTGAGTAGAGAGTTTTTGGTTTTCCCGAAACATCACACTCTATTTTTGCGGTATCTCATTATACCAATGTGGGATACTTTTAGTTGCCTATTCACGACGCCGTAGAAACCAATATTTCAAGATTGGTACAATATTGTAGTACTTATTTGAAAAGTAATCCTAATAACGTTGTCTTCACATACTAACTTAAATTAGTTTTTACAAACTAATCGCAGAATAAAATAATATTATTTTCCACTCGTTAGGCTTTAAGAATAATATACATAAAAATGATTTTCTCAATCGTCTCTCTTGGAGTTGTGTTATTTTGTGCGTCCATTTTGACCCAATATTCAAACTTTCTGTTCAGGGGACTAAATAGACCGTTTTTTTAATTTCCTTCTAATGGAATTCATAGGGGCTTCAATTTACATAAATTAATCCAATAACATCCTATTTTGATGACTGATAACTTGATTACTGTAGCCATACTCTAATTAATTCATACGAAACGAAGTTTGAGGTAAGCGTATCAGTAACTTTTTTTCTAGAAATTCCGTCAAATAAATTTCACCTGAATTTTACACGGCAGTCAGTAATAATTGCGGTTTTCGAATCTAATATTCATCGAATTCCGATGAGCGTGTGCCGCATAATGCCTAGTATGTAAAATGTAAAGTGGTTTATTTAATTAATGGTCCATATAAATTAAAGTTTGACGTGTTATCATGTAAACAATAATACTACCAAAATATGTATAGCTAATAGCTATTTAGTACTCTTTATAAATTATAATATTAAAATAATAAAATAATATTGTACCTTTCTGTACATGAATTTAATATACATTAATATTGGCAAATTTAGTTTAATGTATTAATGTTTATTTTACTGCACTCACGTGTAATGTCAATTGATAACAAACGATTTCGTTAAAAATAATAATTGAAATGTTTTTAATTAAATATTTAATAAAACGTACATGTCACAAATAATAATAATTATTTATATTATTATAATATCTATTAACATTTCGCGATAGGATGAAATTGATAAAATTCATGTTTGAACAATGCTCAATTTAATACTAAGCTTTCAGAAACAGTTCTTTTAATATCTATTTAAATGCAATATTATATAGGTACCTGCCTATGGTTTACAATTATTAGCTTATTTTCAACTGTAGACTATACATTGAAACATTTTTATATTTTAATAGTATTATTAATGTTAATAAGGTTTATTGTAAAGGTTTTCAATAAACTATATTTTGTTTTTGTTTTTCGTTTAATAATAATTTTAGTTCATTGTGTAACGGATAAATTTATTAAAGTCTCTCAAGAGATGTTTGAGACTTTTCGTACTCTATTTTTTTATTACTAAAAACCATAAAACAATGGTTTTTTTAAATCTTTTTAATAAATATATA